CCCATCCCCATCAGCCCCTCCTCCATCCCCCCCATCCCCACCAGCCCCTCCTCCGTCCCCCTCACCCCATTCCCACCAGCCCCTCCTCCACCCACCCTCATCCCTCCTGTCCCTGCCAGCCCCTCCTCCGCCCACCACATCATCCCCATCCCCACCAGCCCCTCCTCCGCCCCCCTCACCCCATTCCCGCCAGCCCCTCCTCCACCCACTCCCATCCCTTTGACCCCCACCCCTGTCGTTGCCCACCCTTGTCTCCCCATTCCCTTCCCCCTGGGGTGGCAGCGGGCGGCTCCTTGGAGGCTCGGCCCGCGGCGGGGACCCACCTCGGTGCGGTACACCAGCTGCTCACTCCCGTCGTCGTTGATCCGGTAGATCTCCAGGAAAGGATCCGACTTGCTGAAGAGATCCTGCCGGGGGGGTGGGCAGACGGGCACGGTGAGCTCCACGGCTGGGGCTGCCCTCCCGCTCCGGGCAGGACCAGCTCAAAGCAGCAGACCAACCTCCGGGCCATCTCCCCCGATACCCCCCAGAAAGGGGCATGTCCTCCCCGGCGGAAGGGACCAGCCTCCGAACCAGCCCTGCCCGGGATGGGGGCTCTGAGCACCCAGGGGCCACTGTGCCAACCCTCCACGCTCAGGCCTGTCGCAGCAGGCGGCTCCCTCGCCCCTGCCCGGCAAGGCCCTGCTCCCTGCCACGGCCACGCTGGGCTCCAACCCCATCCCTGCCCTGTGCCCACTCTTGCTCTGGCCCCTGCCTGACTCCTGCATTCTCACTGCACCTCCTCTGCCCGGCCAGCCTCTCTCGTGCTGTGCCCGCAGCAGCCTGCCCCGATAACTTCCAGGCCTTGGCTATCGCTGAACTGCCCCCCAGCATCCCTGCCAGCCCGTGCTTTCCCAAGGGGCTCTGGGGAGCGGGGCTGGGAGAGGGAGCCCTTTGGACAGCTGGGTGGGGCTCGATCGGGACAGTGGCACCAGCACAACCCCCCGTCTCAGGGGGCAGGCTCAGTGGAGGGACAGAGCTCCATGTGTCCCGTCGCTGGGCAGGGCCACGGCCCGCTGACCAGGCTGCTGAGGGGCGAGCTGGCCTGGCCGCTCCCATCGCGCACTCTGCCGGGGGCAGCTCCAGCCTCCCCCAGTAGCACCCAAGCATTGGAAAGGTGCCAGAGGGGCGCCAGGGCCAGTCGGCAGCCACGGCTCCCAGCTCTCAGCAAATAACCACACTGGCTCCTCCGCGCGGCCATTCCCAGGCTGCACCCAGCCCGATCCGGGGGGCTGGGGGCACCGGGGTCTCAGCAAAGGCAGAGCGGAGTCTCTCGGCCAACCCCAGCGGCAGGCAGAGGTACCTTGTCGTCCAGCTTCTTGGCCCGGAACGCCAGCTCCACATAGCCGTTGTTGCCGGAAATCTCCTCTGACAGCACCTGAGGGGAGAGCGCCAAGGAGCCCTCAGAGACAGGCAGCCGGGCACAAGCTCTGGGGAGAAACTCGCCCGGTCCTGTCTGCCTGTTGGAGCCACCACGCACAGAGCACACCTGTGAGGTACTGGCAGTGATGTGTGTGCCACGCCAGGCAGCAGGGCACGGAGAGGCCGTTGTGCACACGCGCCAGGCCGGGCGGCAGGGCACGGAGAGGCCGTTGTGCACATGCCACACGCCAGGCCGGGCGGCAGGGCACGGAGATGCTGTTGTGCACGCGCGCCAGGGCAGGTGGCAGGGCACAGAGATGCTGTTGTGCACGCGCGCCAGGGCAGGTGGTAGGACAAGCAGCAGGGCACGGAGAGGCCGTTATGCATGTGCGCCAGGCCGGGCGGCAGGGCACGGAGAGGCTGTTGTGCACGTGCGCCAGGCTGGGCGGCAGGGCACGGAGAGGCCGTTGTGCACGTGCGCCAGGCCAGGCGGCAGGGCACGGAGAGGCCGTTGTGCACACGCGCCAGGCCAGGCGGCAGGGCACGGAGAGGCCGTTGTGCACACGCCAGGCGCCAGGCCGGGCGGCAGGGCACGGAGAAGCAGCAGGGGCCAGGGATCGCCATCCCAGCCCACTCTTTAGTGTGTTCTCCATCGCGTTCAAAGAGCACAATTCCCGCGCTGCACAGAGTGGGTGTCCCAGCAACGCCCATACACCAGCTGGAGGGGCTGGCCTCTGGGGAATGAATGTGGATTCCCCGTAGCCAGGGACCAGTGATGAGAACCTGGGTTCTGGGGACTGACCCCTGCCCTGAGCCACGTCTGCCAGCCTGGGGAGATGGCGGGGGCAGATCAGGGCTAGTCTGCGCAGGGTGGGACGGGCTGGCGGGGAGGAGGAGACGGGCAATGGGAATTCGGCCCCTGCAGCAGCAGGGTCTTCGGCACAGACCTGGCTGGTTGTGAGCCATACCAGAGCTCCGGAGGACGTGGCAGGACCCCTCTCTGGGGCAGGTGGGGGGCAGCAGCGTTAGAAATACGAAGAGGAGCTCTGGGCTGGGGGAGCGGAGCACCGGGCAGCTCTCTAGAGACAGCTCCTGCCCACCGAGTTCCAGGCTCCAGAGCCCGTCAGACGGGTACATGTGCCTGCGGGTTTCCTGGCAGAGCTGTGTGGCACCGAGGCAGCCAGAGCAGGGCACGGTGCGGCTCTGGGGGCTGCCCCTCCCTGTCCTTTTCCAAAGGGAACGGCCCAAGCAGGCCCAGCCGAACGTGTTCCCCCCTCCCTGCAGGCTGCGTGAGCAGCAGGACCGCTAGGAAGTGCAGAGCCGGCCGCACTCACCGTGATAGTGGACTTGCCGGCGTACTTCCCGTACTTGAGAAACAGCGGCTTGGTCACCCGCTTCTGGGCCACGATCTGGAAGGGAAGATGATAGCATGAGTCGGGGGGAGGGAGCTGTGGGCCCACGCGATGCCCTGGGGATGGGGGCAGGGGACCCATGGGCCCACGCGACACCGTGCGGGGAGACACGGCCACGCCAGTCTCCCCAGGGGAGATGGTGGCACTGGAGTCGCACTGGAGCATGAGCGGCCCCAGGAGACACGTTGCCGTGGGAGTTGTCTCGGGAGAGACGTTAGCGTGACTGGGCTCAGGGGACACGGCGCATGAGTCACTCGGGGGACACGAGTCATCCCGGAGGACGTCAGCACAGGGGCCAGTGAACCCCTGCAGACGGAACCAGCGCTGGGCCACGCCTGTGCCACACGCTGAGCTCCCCGGCCCGGGCAAGGGCTCGCCAGCGATTCCCAGGCTGCAGGGGAGGGCCTGAGGGTGCCAAGCTGCGGTTTCATGGACAGTGCTTGGCCTTTACAGACAGTCAGTGCTCAGACGTGCCAAGCAGTGGGACTTCCTGAGAGCGCTGAAATCGCTCCCTTCTCCTGGAGCTCAGAGCCATCCCTGCTACGTCAAGTTCTCCCCAGCCCTGGCCACTTTAACCCGCAGCATCGTCCCTCCGCTTTCCTCTCGGCCCTGGGGATTTCCAGTCCCACCGGCAATGCCATTAGAGACTATCTGGGGCTTCCCCGGCCCTGGGAGGTCAGCGTCCTCAGCTGGGAGCGCTCAGAACTCCCACTCCTAGGGCGTGCCGCTGATCGCAATGACAATATCCTGCAACGTGCAAATATGGCGGTGATACGTTCCTGGCACCGCTAAGCCCTTCTGCAGGCCGCCCTGAGCCACCTTCCCAGGCCAGGAACGGAGCAGCCCCGCGCCTGGGAGCAGTGAACGGTCGAATGGCAGGATTCCCCCCCCAGGAAACACCGCAGCCCTGCTGGGCCACAGCCTGGGGACGGGCGAGAGGAGCGGCTCCCAGGGGACAGCCGGGGCGAGTACCTGGCCCACGGTGCACTCCATGCCCCCCAGGAAGTCGTCATCGTGTGTCCCGAGGCTGGAGTGCCCGTGACTGTCGTACACCTCGAACCGCAGCTTCTGCACTTCCTCAAAGTAATAGTCCACCGTGAAGACCTTGGAGAAGACGGGGTGAAGGTTGCTCTTGATGATCTCGCTCCTGTCCACCTGGAGGCCAGAGGAGAATCAGGGCCCAGCCCAGCAGCCCTGGAGACCAAGGGCCTCTCCTGATCCACCCAGCAGCCCCGGCAATAGCAGTGCAAGCTCCCCGCTCTCCTCACCTCACAGGGTGCCCCCCCACCTGCCCACAGGGCTGGGGCGCCGTCTCCAGGCCCCGAGCCTCTGCCGCGGAGACTGTCAGCTGGTGCCAACTGGCATGGTGGGCTCAGAGATGGAGCCCCCTGTTCCCAGTGGGGAGACCACTGCCTCTTTTCACCCACAAGGCAGGGTCCTCAGGCCTACAGCCCTGTCCTGGGGGCGGACAGGGTTCTGCACAGCACCAGGGCTCTGGCGCTCCGGGTAAGATGGCCCCGTTACGAGCCGGGGGAGGGTTTTCCTAGCTCCCAGCGCCACAAACTCCCCCCGGGCATGGAGAGAGAGCACCACCACTTGAGGGTGCTCTGCCAGGCGGTTGGGGATGCGGGGGCAGTAGGGGGCACTATTCTGCCCTTTGTAATGTCCAAAGAGACGCATATTTTTTTCCACCGCCTCTTCCCGGCAGACGAGCAGCGACTGGTTCTCCACGTGTCAGACCTGGATGGCACCAAGATGAACCCGGTCCCTGTTCAGGGTCAGGGCCTGCAGCCCCAGCGCCCCGAACCAGCCCTTGGCACTGTGTGGGCATGGCTCTGACAAGGGGCTTTGTTCTTTAACTGCTGCCGAAAACACGGCAGGGGGAGCAAGGCTTGAAAAGGTAGGTTTTGGTAGGGTCTACACAAATAGCCATTTTTAAAACACGTCTCAGTTTTCGAGCGGCAGAATTCTTGGAAATGCCCTGCACTGAGGGCTTTTCCCCTCCCCAGATCCCAAGCTCTACATTTGTTTTTAACGCCGTTCTAAAAACAATTTGAACGTAGGTAAAATGCAGGAGCCAAATCAAACCTTCGGCTCCGTCCCTCCCGCAGGAGCAAACCCAGCGATTGTATGAACCACCGTGAACGAACCCAGAGCTCACAGCGAGAGAGGGATTAACTCTAGGCTGCCACTTCCTCTCGCTGCCCCCATATCCCTGGCTTGGCAGCGGCTGGGCCGTGCCCCGATGTCCCCTCTGACAGGCAAGCTGGCTTCACACTGGGGGGCTTTGCCATCCCCCTCCCAGGAAGCCAGAGCAGGGCCCAGGCCCGGCCGAGTTACTAGCCACCCCGGGACATCAGCAGCTCCAGAATCCCGGAAACCTGCACTTTTAAGGAAACTGAATAAAACGTCTCAAACCACCCTGAACACGGACTCGTTAGTGTGGGGAATGCAGATGAGATGCTAATGAGCTACTCGATTGTCAATGACTCTGGGAAGCGAGAGCTGCGTGTGTGGCCAATTCACTTCTCAGGACCAAGCCTGGGGTATGCAGGTGGCTCTGGGTACAGAGCACTAGGGGGCACTCTTGGGACTGGAGGGTATTTGTCCCAATGGCTCATCCTGATGCCTCGCCCAGCCAGCCCTCCCACCCCGGTCTCTGGCTCCCACGGACTCCATTCATCCCATGCAGCGATAGCCAGGGAGCTGCCCACTGAGGGGGCCACGCCCGCCGTTCTCTGTGGGGCAGCACCTCCTCCAAGCGACGGCCATGACAGCTTTGCCACCCCTCCCTGGAAGCTGGAACAGGGTGTGACATTATTGACATAATCTGGGACCATATAGAACATGGTTGCAACCAAGGTCCTGTAGTGGCACCAAATCTTGTATAAAGGGGGTCAAATGAGGTGTCTAAGACAAGGTTATGGTTGGCTGGTTATGATTCTGCTCTCTAGATGTGTGTATCGATTTTGTAGTTGAAGTTATGAATATTGGCTCTAGACTGTCTGTATTTTAAACTTATGCTATGCTGCTGGGTGACATCCCAGACAAGTTGGTGTTAGCTCTGCCTGGCCTGCTTGATGGCCCATTAAGGACCATCAGCTATACAAATGACCCATTGAGAGAAGGCAGATACGCCTTGTAACTCAGCAAAGTATGCAGGGACTGGCCCATGTGACTCCAGACTCCATTTTGCTGTAATTTTCCACAGTAAGAACAAAGAGATGTTCTTACACCTGGAAAAGACTATAAAAGGCTAATGCCTCATCTCCATCTTGTCTTCAATCCTGCTTCTTATCTCTGGAGGGACTTTGGCACAAACTGAAGCTCTGAGCAAAGGACTGAGGACCCATCCCAGCTGGGGATGTTCCAGAGACTTAATTTGAACCTGCAGTTTATTCCATCACTGCTACAAGCCTGAACCAAGAACTTTGCCATTACTGTATGTAATTGATTCCATTTAACCAATTCTAGCTCTCATCTTTATCTCTTTCCTTTTATGAATAAACCTTTGGATTTTAGATTCTAAAGGATTGGCAACAGAGTGATTTGTGGGTAAGATCTGATTTGTATATTGACCTGGTCTGGGGCTTGGTCCTGTGGGATCGAGAGAACCTTTTTTTTCTTTTACTGGGGCGTTGGTTTTCATAACCATTCATCCCCATAACGAGTGGCCTGGTGGTGATACTGGGAAACTGGAGCATCTAAGGGAATTGCTTGTGTGACTTGTGGTGAGCCAGTGGGGTGAGACCAAAGTCCTCTCTGTCTGGCTGGTTTGGTTTGTCTTAGAGGTGGAAAAACCCCCAGCCTTGGGCTGTAACTGCCCTGCTTGAAGCAATTTGTCCTGAACTGACTCTCTCAGTTGGGTCCCGCCAGAACTGCATCGTTACACAGGGCCCGCGCCCCTGAGTTACTAGCCACCCCAGGGTGTCAGGTAGCTGGTGGGGAGCACCCCATGTTATGGGCGGAAGGGGCGCTCATTCTTCTCCCTTGCGGGCAGCGCCAGGGGCAATTACATGGGCAGAGAGGGAGCACCCGCTCCTCTGGGCTGCTCAGGCCCACCCAATCAACGTGGGATCAGCCATGTGCATGGAAATGGGCCACGTGCCTGGGTCAGGACCTGCCGAGAAGGGACCCAGGAAGTCCCAGAAGCTGGGGGAGAGAGAACAGGATTCCCCGAGACAAGCGAACCCTCTCCAGGGGCAAGGGGTTCCCTGCCCCCTTGCTCTCTGCTTGTATTGTTGTCTTTTCCCTGGGCACATGCCCCACCAGCAGCCCTGTCAGCACAGTGGTGGGGGGCCGATGGGGACCCTGCAAACATTGGAGGGCTGCGATCTGGATCCTCAGGCAAGTCCCGGGGGTGCTGGGCACAGCCGGCCCCCCCGGTAGGTGCTCTGGCATGAGGGAGCTGCGCCCAGCTGTCACCAATTTCAGCCGAGAAGACATCGTGACGGGGACTGGTAGAGGGACCGATCTCCCATTCGCCAGCCAGCCCCTGGCTGCGGCCCTGGGCTCTGAGCCGGGGTGGAAGGATGGACGCAGGATCGGGACCCTTCGTGGATGTGCACAAAGCCAGGACGTGGAGGGCTCAGGCCCCACTGCCAAGGCAGAGGCCATGGGGTCCCGGGTAGGAACGGAGCTCAGCCATTGGAGGGGACTCTGCAGGGCTGGAGCCTTTTCTCTCGGGATTATCAAGCTGCTGCCGCAAATCTCTGTGCCGGTGTCAGTCTCCTGAACAGACACACACAATTTGACGGCTTAGCAGACTTAGCTGCAGCTTAAGCCCCCTGGCTGCTGTTCGACTGGGGCTCAGCTGCACAGCACAGAAACCAGCATGTTTTTATCCTTCCCTGCACTTGCCTTGCATCCGGCCACATCACCGCACCACTCAGCTGCCCCCGGCTGCCTCTCCTCACCACCTCTCACGCCTTCTAACGGAGCCCAGAGCTGGGAAATTGCCTAGCCCATCACTAGTGCTTTATTCAGCATGAAGATCCGCGTCTGCCCGGGGGCAGCGGGTGCAGATCCGCGTCTGCCCGGGGGCAGCGGGTGCAGATCCGTGTCTGCCCGGGGGCAGCGGGTGCAGATCCGCGTCTGCCTGGGGGCACCGGGTACAGATCCGCGTCTGCCTGGGGGCACCGGGTACAGATCCGCGTCTGCCTGGGACACGGGGTGCAGATCCGTGCCTGCCTGGGACACGGGGTGCAGATCCGTGCCTGCCCGGGGGCACGGGGTGCAGATCCGTGTCTGCCCGGGGGCACTGTGTGTGGCGGAGGGTGGGGGCGAGAAATACGACTGTAGCAATTTCTAGTTTGAGGATTTAGAGAGCATCTCACTGCATCCCGGACCTGCTAGCCGGGTGCTTTGTCTTCCTTCGGCTCACATGGACGCGCGACAGGTGGGCCTGCCTTGGGAGAATCCCTGGGAGAAGCGTTATCCCAACGGGTATTCCTCATCCCTGCCACCCTGCCAGGTCACAGCACGGCCCAACCAACCACCCGTACCGTGGGGCACTCATCAGGACTGGCTCCAGGGTTTGTGTCGCCCCAAGCGGCGGAAATAAACATAAAGCCGCGATCGCAATTGTGATGGTGGCACTCCAGCGGCAGCTCCACTGCGCCACTTTCTTCTTCGGCGGGAATTCGGCAGCAGGTGCTTCCCTCCGAGAGGGACCCGCCGCCGAATTGCTGCCAAACAGCCCGACGTGCCGCCCCTTCCCCTTGGCCGCCCCAAGCACCTGTTTGCTGGGCTGGTGCCTGGAGCCGGCCCTGGCACTCAGCCACATCACATCCTGGCCACTGCTGGATGGGGCCGAGTCACTGCCCGCTGACATAGCGCCGGCCAGCCGGAGTGGGCAGTAGGTCAGCGGCTGTTCTCTGTGTCTCCGGCCTGGACCAGCGCAAGTCTCGGAATCAGGTGCCAGTTTAATATTATTTATTGGGATGGGGCTAGCACCGGGAGGCCCCAGCCCTGGCACCATTGTGCAGGGTGCTGTACAAAGAAAGTTTGCAGAAGAGAAGAATGAGGGGGGATTTGATAGCAGCCTTCAGCTACCTGAAGGGGGGTTCCAAAGAGGATGGATCTAGACTGGTCTCAGTGGTACCAGATGACCGAACAAGGAGTAATGGTCTCAAGTTGCAGTGGGGGAGGTCTAG